GTGATTCATCATTAAAATGATAGCCAGCAATATGCAAAAGGGGTTGTGTCAAATAGAAGCAAGGTAATCAATTTAGATTTATTTTATGGCACACCTAATACTACCTTTACTCCAGCTTTCTATAATTCAGGCTGGCAATCTATTAGCTCAGAGACGATGTTATTGGAAAAACACTTTAGGAACCTGTCTGCATTGGTCATAGAGCCATGAATCAAAACAGTTCTGTTTGTGTATAGAGCAGTACGTAATAGCCCTTTGAAAAAAAGTCCACCAAACATTCAGTGGAGGAACTTGATGAAGGGAATGTCAAGTTTTGATGAATGGCTGTCTTTGTGCCCTGTTCCTAACACAAGTTTACCTCTTTACCTATAATAAATCATGATAAATTAGGTCTCTGGTAGAATTGGCTAATTATTCCCACCTTTCATTCTCTTCTCTGTGGTGCTTCTCTATTGCATTTCATATCCTGCGGGTCCAGTGTTCATAATGTGTAGCATGCTCACCTGTTCCACCCCTTCTGTTATATTTCACCTTTTTTTTTTTTTTGGACAATTTTTATACCATTTCTTTTTTTTTTATAGAGAGTGTGGGGTCTTATGCCCAGTAATAAATGTGACATTCAATAAAGATAGTTAGGGTAAACATGTTAAAAATAAATAAACGCTTGGTTCTGCAGTTATCTAAATGCAAGGAATCAAAAGTTTAATACTTCTGTGCAAAATAGAGCCTAGATCCTCAGCGTACCCAATAGATACAGTGAATTATTGACAGAGTAATGGTCAGGGAGGTGAAATTAAAGGAAGTCAAGCTTTTGCACGATTCATAACGAATACCGATTTTCTGATGTATTCCAGAGTTGGTAAACATACTTAGTACACTTAGGGGAAAAATCATTTGCCTTACCGATTTCCATTTTTGTTGGCTATTTTTTTCCCAGTTTAATGTTTCAAACTATTAAAACAAATAAGATATAGTGTTTTGCTTGAAAGTTTACATACCCTTCCATTAAACACAGAAAAAAAATCAGCTGCCAGTAACTTAATTTGAAATTGACAAAAGTAATACTAAATAAAAATGATAAAAAAGGGAAATCAGGACATTGATTTTGAATGTAATTCCATTAATTAGTTGGAGATGCCAAAACACCTCAAACTAATTTATCACTGGACAATGACTTGGTTATTGCACCTTTTATTGAGTATTTTAAAAGTAGACTCGCTGATGTGCTTTTGGTTATTTCAATGCTGATGTTTGCATGAGGTTAAAATCACCAAGTATTAAAAAAAAAGAATTTATGGTTTCATCAGTAACATTAAGCAGTCCAGGTCCTGATGCAACAAAGCGGCCCCAGACAATCTTACCATCAAACATTTGACTCTTGGTATAATGTTCTTCTTCTGAAATGCAGTGTCACTTTTGCACCAGATGTAATTTGTTAAGCCATGAAATATTTTCTTTCAAGGCTTTGAGATGATAAATATGTTTGGTCAAATGTCAGACAAACCTTTTTAACCTTAAATTTAGTGATCATCATCAACTCTCCAATGATTGCCATGTCTTTCCCTTCAGTTTAATGTTGTTGAACCTTGTGAGTCAAGAGAGGCCCACAAAGTGCTTTATGGCATGTTTTCAATAAATAAGGGACCTGATTCCCCAGACCTTTTATTTATCTACTGTTTTCTTGTATTTCCAATGTGTAGTTCAGAGTGCTGACCTCACCTCACAGCAGCGTTATGGACCAAGGTAAAAGAGACCGGTGTTAAAAATAAAAGCTGCCATTTACAGCAATGAAACTATCCGTGACTCTTGTCACTGCAAATACAGTTTATATATTTACAGGTCAGATTTCATGGAAAAGGGAGGCTGCAAAATGTATTAAAGACATTTAACCAAAGCAGACTTCCATGCTCTTAACTCTTTATGCAACAGACAGAGAGGACAGAGGAGATAAATCTGCAGCCTGGATTAAAACCCAGTGTTTCTGATCATAAGCTTGTGATAATTTGGGTAAACTTCAAAAGAAAGAATGAGCAGTAGAAGAGCTTAGACAAGCGGTGGCTGGCCAATAGAGGGCACTAGGGCAAAGCACTACCCACCCAATGACCTTGATTAAGACATAAAAAAGAAAAAAAATCAAAATTATAAAATTAAAATATTTCAAAATATATTGACACTTATACCCAATATTTATTAATAGCCCCCCCTGGAGAAAACGCCAACAGCCGCCACTGCTTTAGACTAGTTCGATTTGAGATGTTCTGGATTTTGTATTGACCTCTGGGATCAGTCACTGATGTGTCCTTGGAGGAATTTCAGTTGGCCAGACTCTCCTGGGAAAGTTTGCCCTTGATACATGTTTTCTTAATGTGCATAATGGCTCTGAATATGGTTCCCTGGACTCCAAAAGCTAAATCCAGGTATGGGGGCTAATATTGAACTAGTCTTTCCAAACTATGTGGTTGATAAAAGTGACTATGATTAACAGAGGAGATGATTTCTATTTGGAAAAAAAGCTGCAATTTGTATCTAAAATATTGTATTTATTTGTATTGAAAACATTGCATTTCTTTGCTGATATGTGTAACAGAAAAAGCTAATCTTAATTTTCTAGATGGCTGTTCTACGTGCATTTCAAACATGTTTAATCTAACAGTGATTTGTTTTCTCAAAAGTACCCTGTCTTAGTGAATGTAAGCTTTTTTTTTGCAAAACCTAATTACCACCTTTCATACCTGCAGTCAAACATTGATTTTGAAAGCATTGCTCAGTGACGGTGCAGTAGAGCAGAAAGCATGTAATTATCCCTGGCTTTGTTAGAATTGTTATGGTTAGTGTAGTATCGGACTTTGAATCTCTCTTTAGCGTCCAGTTTAAGCTTTTTATACAGCCACCAAACTTGAAAACTGATAGATACTGGCTCTTGACATGGAAAATGGGGCCGGATGATTGTACATTTACAAGAGCTATATTTGGTTATATTCATTATCATCCCTCATTTAGAACAGTTCAAGCTTAATATCATCAAAACAAACAAGTCAATACAAATCTATTAACCAGTTTACAAGTTGAATGATTATTGAGAACAAATATCTAAAATAAAAGTGCAAATTACTCCTATCATTTTTGTTTCTGTCGATTGCCTTTTACAGGTACGAGTTGAAGATTATGGTATGATTTACAGATAAAATAAGGGAAAAAACATTGTGTTTCCAAATCAAAACTTTAAACCAAAAGTCAGAGGATGCCATGATACTGGCACTGGTGCCTCACTTAATTACTTATTCCTTTTACCTGTCTCTCATCTGATCCACCTGCTCCTGCCTCTGTTTAAGGTGCTTGAATCCAGTCATCAGGGCCAGATCATTCTTGTTCTCTCTAGCCAGTCATTAGAGTGTTTTTAGAGTTCCTTGGTGTTTCTGATTACCTGACCCTGTCCTGTTCTGCCCCTCAACCATTGAGCCTGCCTGTTCTCATCTGATCTCAGTGATGAGAGTGTTTTTAGAGTCCCTGAGTGTGTCTGATTCCCTGATTCTGAACACTGAGCTTGCCTGTTCCTTTTCTGATCAGTTTGCCTGAACAGTCTTTGGACTCCTGGACCTCTGAGCGTACCTCTTCCAGTTTGAACAGTTTGCCTGAACTGTCTTTGGACTCCTGGACCTCTGAACCTGCTGGGTCTTGTTCTGATCTGTTTACCTGATCTGGCTTCAGACTCCTGAACCTCTGAGTCTTCCTGTTCTGATCTGTTTGTCTGACCTGGCTTCAGGCTCCTGCTTGTTCTCTGGGGCTGCAGCTTCTGGGACACACTGGGAGGCGCCTACAGCATCTTGTTGGCAGCAACCAGCTGGATCCTACCATGTTCTCTGGGCATGGACTGAACTTTTAAACCAGGTTAATGGCTCGCGTTCATTAACATATCATAGCATTTCCTGTCTCAGACGCCCTAGCTGCTGCAGCTGCTGAAACCAAGGAGGAACCCTTTCTATAACGGTGTTACTTGTTAAATGAATCGCCCTTTTTTTCTATAGCCCACAAGTAAACAAGAGAAGGAAGGAATCTCTCATAAGGATATACGTCAGTTATGCACAAAGCAGATAACTTAATCTTTCTTTTTCTTACCATAAAAAAGAGGTTTTTCTTTAACATGCAACTGACAGATAACTTCTTTTACCTGGTGCTTCCAACAACTGTATTCTCTCATTTTAATACTGCCAAGGGCAGAGGCAAATACTATGGTCCAAGTTTAATACAAACATCTGTTGTTTTAATAAACTAAGAAAAATAGATATGTCATTAAGATCCAGAGTTATACAAATAATTCCTAATTGATAACTTAAAAAAAATACATTTAGGTGGTTTTGTTAAGTTGTTTTATGTGACAGAGCAATGTGTCTGACAAAACATTGCAGTTACATGAAATCCAAATATTGACATCTATGGTGTAATTGTTTGGTCACTATGGCCTCTGTAGTTTTCCCTGATTTGAAGAAAAAAGCATTGTGAGTGTTCATCTGTAATGTGCATCTGATATCCTCAAAGTGAAAAACCAAAAAGTCAAAGGAAACATTACAGTCTGATGAAAGGACCTACATGTTTATGTCTTTAAGATTTGCAACATGAAAACCATTACATGTATGCTATAGTGTGTGATACAAAGTTTTAAACAAAACTTTCCTCAGCTGTGTTTTTTTCTAAATACAACACCTTGTAATTCTGTGCTGTTTAAATAAATAAGATAATATAAGTTACTTATGTGTTACAAACTAATTTCTATAAAAATCTTTTATTTCATCTGATCGATTTATCCAACAGATTTAAATGTTGTCATGATTTTAATTATTTTGAAAACTTGAGCTAATTTATTAGGAATGTCATTCATTTATCATTAACAAGTTCTACAGATTTTAAAACATTTGAAATTAAAGCTTATAAATATTTAATTTCTATATATACATTTTTAAAGGCATATGTTTAAGTAACTTTCTGTGTCTCATCTTTTTCAGATGTAACTGGAGATGCAGCACTTTCGCCAACAAACCGGACCTTCATTGAATTTTAAAGTGCTTCATATTAAACGGGAAGCAGCATCTCTCCTCTCCAAAGCAATCCATTATTGACGATTAATGTCAAACTGCATGCTTGAGCAGCTTAATGCTGCCTCACTGGGTGGAACATCACTGATGGAAGGAAAACCTCATAAGACTCAGCTCATCAAATTACACCTAAGAGAAGCATGATGCCTTCAAAAGTATCATGTTTATACATACTGACAGTGGTCTGCTGGGCCAGCGCCTTGTGGTACCTGAGCATTACACGCCCAACATCCACCTATGTGGGCCACATGGCTGTGCCTAAACGCCGGATTGTGAAACCGCCTCCTAAAAACATCACATTTTCCAACATCCGCACACGCCCCCTCAACCCTCATGCCTTTGAATTTTTAATAAATGAGCCGAAAAAGTGCGAGAGCGTCACGCCTTTTCTTGTTATACTCATCAGTACCACGCACAAGGAGTTTGACGCACGGCAGGCCATCCGGGAGACCTGGGGCGACGAGAGCACCTACAGTGACATACACATTCTCACCATCTTTCTTCTTGGCAGAAACACGGATGATGTGCTTAACCAGATGGTGGAGCAGGAGAGCCAGATCTTCCATGACATTGTAGTAGAGAACTTTATCGATTCATACCATAATCTCACACTCAAGACAATGATGGGCATGCGCTGGGTAGCGACATTCTGCCCAAAGGCGCAATACGTTATGAAAACTGACAGTGACATCTTTGTCAACATGGATAATCTTATATACAAGCTTTTGAAGCCCAGCACTAAGCCCAGAAGGAGGTACTTTACAGGATATGTGATAAATGGTGGTCCCATCAGAGATATGCGCAGTAAGTGGTACATGCCCAGAGACTTGTACCCTGAAAACAAATACCCACCGTTCTGCTCAGGTACTGGTTATGTCTTCTCAGCAGACGTAGCAGAGCTAATCTACAAGACTTCGTTGCACACAAGGCTGTTGCATCTGGAGGACGTGTATGTGGGAATGTGTTTACGTAAACTAGGCATACACCCTTATCAGAACAGTGGGTTTAATCACTGGAAAATGGCCTATAGTCTCTGCAGATACAGGCGTGTTATCACAGTTCACCAGATCCCACCGGAAGAGATGCACCGCATTTGGAATGACATGTCCAGCAAGAAGCACCTGAGATGTTAGGGATTATGAATGACAACTTCAAGTTATTCAACTGACCCTTTTCCCCAATGTATCCTGTTACATATTGTCACTTAATCATGTAAGATCTGCAGCTGCTTCTGCAACCCTCAGTTTTTTGTTTTGTTTTGTTTTTTTATGGATTTAATGGGTTTTAATTAATTCACTGGTATCCATATCTCTGTTTGCTATCTACATCACTTGAAAGCTGTGTAGTCACTTATTTGAAACGGAATTTGAAAGTTGGTTTCTGTTAAAGGTTTGTAAGCTATTAATATCTTTTCTGTGGGAGATGACTCTCAAAGCATTGCTATTTAGTATAAATCCAGTTTGGTGGCTTCCAGAATTTTTATCTGAAAAAGGATAGTAGGATAAAAAAAAAGTCTTAAAACTTAAAACTTTTAATGACATACTTGTTTATTTACATAGAGGCAGATTGGAATATTGAAATTGGATACAGACACTCACTAATGGTCATCACAATTGGAAAGGTCTAGTTACCCCTGCAGGAAACTGAGCCTAAAAGTAACACTTTGGGATGGCCAAGCCTGAATCTGATAGAGCTCAGACTTGAGGCTGATTTATAAAGATACAAACATTTAAAAAGTAGTGGAAACATCCAAAACTAGTTAGCAATCATGAAGGTTTGATTGCTTTAATGATGTCAGATGTTATCTATATATCTGAAGTAAAAATAACTCAAAGTTTTAATTCAAAATAAAATGTAAATCAATTTTGTTTTTTTAAAATTGATGAAATTGATAATTTTCTCAGTTTATGAGAGATCCTGTTTTTTTATCTTATTGAGCAACTGCATAATTTTCAAGGGTTTTAAAAATTAGGCCTTCTTTGACAAATGGTTTAAACTTTAGTTAATATTTAAAACTAATTGCTTTTAACTTTACCCATATAGCAAATGGTCGAATCTTTGTTATCTTGGTATCTAAGGTCTAACACAAGCATGAGAACCTGTTGTCTAGTGTATTGCATATGGGATAAAGGTGCTTCATTGAATTGGCTTCATTAGTACCTGGGTGACAAAAGTTTCTGTTTTAACATTGATCATTTTCTGTCTACTCTTTGCTTCATACTTCCTTAATGGTTTGATCATTGGGCTGTTTTTTTTCATCCTCTTTTCCTGTGTATTTGCGTCCTTTTTTATTAAGTCATTGCTGGCTCTGAAATTGCCTTAACCTGAACCTTAAACAAAACCTATTTTATTTAGTAGTAACAGTACTAATCTTTATAGGTTTTCTCCAGTCATACCTAAAACATTCTGTTTTAATAGAGGCTAGAACTTTATTCCAGTTTCAAAGTTAAAGCTACAGTGTGTAATAATTACAGGGATATACAGTCAGAAATGTAATATATTATACATAACTATGTTATTTATCATCATCTACGAGCTCAGCCTCTTAACTTTAATATTTGCGTTGCCTTAGAATTCGTTATTTATAATTACATAGGAGCGGGTCTCGCAGCCATGGAGGCAGACATCTTTGCGCTACGGCAGCGCAGAGCCAACAAACTAGCGATTGCGAGATCGCCCATTACGCTCGAAAGTAACTACGGCAAGTTGAGAGAGATGAACTGAGACGGTACTGAACACACAGACTAATGAAATACTATCTGTAAAATTATCTATGTAAACAAACCTCATCACTTGAGAAGGTAGGTGATGTGGACGTCGTGGAAGACATTTTGTCCCGTAACGCTCGCCGTACTGTTGGGGGGGAGAAGCGGTGGGGTGGAGATGTTCATGTTGCTGCAGTCTGCAGTCTGGACATTAGATGTCGCTGAAAATTACACACTGTAGCTTTAAAATAATATACAAATAAGCTATGTTTTGCTGAAGCTTTTGTCAGAAAGTTATCTTAATTTTATTTACCTGGGAAGAATAACCCATATTTTATTCACAACCCATCTTGACTCCAGCAGTGCATTTTTAGCAGAAGAACTTCTATAGTTTTTTCCTCCAAACTTTGTACAAAGTTGCCTTTAAACTGTAACTCACCCTAAAAAGTATTTTCTTTGGATTTAAACAGTACAAATCATGTCTATGGGGATGCTTTTTAAGTATTACTCTGAATTTTGCACATTTCTATTTTAGATTTTTATGTTCTCCAATATTTGTCTCTAAACTCAGTGGCCCAGTGCTGACTAAGTGGTTGAAGGGTAGTTATTGCAGCTGAACATACCTATTGGTTCAAACAGAATATTCCATTACCACGTATAAAGGGAACTCACTCAGCTCCATAGTAAGTCTTCCTTTCCTTTAAAGTCTAGCATCACCAGATTCAGTCATATTTGATTCAGTACCTTGAAGCAGGCGGCTGGAACTGATAAGGCTTCAGCCCACTGGGCTCTACCAACATGCCATGCTTCTTTAATGCAAAGTACAAAACTAAATACCAACCATTCTTGGAATCCAAAAGAGCTTTGCCCAGGGTTAAGTTATTGGGTTACACTATAAATTTAGCTTTTTGATGTCTGTTTGGAAACATATTTGGCCCTGGCACCCTTTGTAATGGTCTGATTACCGCAAGTTCCTTTTTTTATTGTTTGTTTCTGTCATTTTTTTTTTACCTCTAAAAAACTCTTTTATGTCTATTTTTGCCTTTTAGGTCTTTTAAACCAGTACCTTGATTTAACTTGTTATTTTATTTATTTATTTTTGCAGTAAATGTTCTCTGCAAGTAAAATAATTACAGAAAAGATGC